TGGTGGGGACCGTAGCGGTGAGGCTGAGCAGGGCCCCGAGGAGAGCGGGGCTGGGGGCAGGCGAGGCGCAGAGGGGCCGCGGCGGGGCGGAGCGCTCGACGTGCCCGCCGCCGGCGCCCGCAGTTCGACGTCAACGGCGACGGGGAGATCAGCGGCGCGGAGATGCGCGAGGCCATCGCCGCGCTCCTCGGCGAGCAGCTCAAGGCGCAGGAGGTGGACGAGATCCTGCGCGACGTGGACCTCAACGGCGACGGCCGCGTGGACTTCGACGGTGAGGGGGCGCCGGGGGGCTCCCGCGGGCGGGGGGCCGGGGGCGCCGCTGACGCTGCCGCCCGGGCCCGCAGAGTTCGTCATGATGCTGTCCTCCCGGTAACGAGGAGAGGAGCCCGCGCCGCGCTCCGCCCTGCCCGCGCCCGGCCCCGTGCTCCCGTGGACAGCCTGCCCCGCGAGCACCCGGCGCCCCGGCCGGCGGTAGGTTCCGGAGTGACCATGTCCGCGTGCCGGCGCCGGAGRGCACCCCTGAGGGCAGCCCGTGTCCGCACCGCGGCCAGGCTGCGCCAGGCGGAACCCAATAAAGCTCCTTGTTGGGAAGCGGGTGTGCTGGGGGGGGCTGCGGGGGGAAGGGGGGCTGCAGAGCCCCCCGCGCAGCCCCGGGGCACGCGGGGCGCGGGGTGGCCCCGCTCGGGTGGGCGCTGCTGGTAGCTGTGTGTAACGGGGTGTCGCTGTGGGGCGCGGCAATGGGGCCCCCAGTGCCCGTGGGGCAGTGCTGGGCTGGGGGTCCCCAGGGGGTCCCCAGGGGGTCCCCAGGGGGTCCCGGGGCCCCCTTTCGCTGCCGGCTCCATGGTGTAGGGGTCATCACGTCTGCTTTACACGCAGAAGGACCTGGGTTCGAGCCCCAGTGGAGCCAGGGCTCTCCTTTTCGCCCACCCGTGGGGCAGTGCCACCCGCGAGAGCCCAGCAGCCCCCCCGAGGGGCCCATGGCCATGGGGCAGGGACACCGGGGAGGGGGGCGCTTGGGTGACCTTTTCTTGGGGGGGAAATGGGGATGGACCCTCGGAGAGGTGCCCTGCGCCTTTGCTTTGGCACGGTGGGGACACCCTGGGGCAAAAAGGGAGCCCCCGGGGGCATTAAGGCTGTGACGCCGAGGGGGGCACCCTTGGGTGCCTGGGGGGGGCCRGGAAGGGGCCCCCGGGTGGCTCTGTGGCGCAACGGAGAGCGCGTTGGACTTCTAGCAGCAGCGGGCGGCATTCAAAGGTTGTGGGTTCGAGTCCCACCAGAGCCGCCGCTTTTGCCGGGGGGCGGGACGGGGCTGGGGGGCAGCCCAAGGGCTGGGGTCGGGATTTTGGCCCCGGGCGGTTCGAGCTCGGCCCCGGGCTCCCCGCAAGGGCAGGGGAGCCCCTGGGGGGCCGCGGCCCCCCCCCCGGCCCCGGCAGCACCAGAATGGCCGAGTGGTGAAGGCGTTGGACTTAAGATCCAATGGACGTGCGTCCGCGTGGGTTCRAACCCCACTTCTGGTACCCGGCAGCTCCCTTTTCCTGCCCGGCCCCGTGCGGGGTGCCCAGGGCCCCCAGTCCTGCCCCGGCACCCCCAAATGCACCAGGGTCCAGCAGGGATCTGGGTTCGGATCAGCCGGAGCTGAGCGCTGGTGTCCCCCATGGCCCTCGATGGCCGCTGCCCCGGGGCTGCGATGCAGAGACTTGCGGGCAGCCTGCGCCCCACTTTTTACCATGCGCCCCTTTTTGGGAGCCCGCAATGGGGGGCACCGGCCCTCTCCTCGAGGGGGTCCCGAGCCGCCCGGCTGGGGGACCCTGGGGGCACAGAGCGCCCGCAGCGCGAGCCGGGGAGCCTGGTCTGCCCGGGGGGACACGAGCATCCCCCTCGTGGGGATACCCCTCGGGCAGGGGAGCAAGGAGGAGGGGGAGGACGGGGAGGAAGGGGAGGACGGGGAGGAAGGGGATGATGGAAAGGATGGGGGAGGAAGGGGAGGA